CCATTCCCCCAGAAGAGGCAGGGTGGGGAGGGTGCTGCGGCCTCGGGGGGTTTGTGTGTGTGCTTCTTCCCTGACAAAGGTCCCCCCTTTCCATCGTAAGGGTGAGGTATCTGGGTGTAAAGAGGTGTCTGTGTTGTAAAGGGAGAAGGCAATGCAAGGAAGGTGAACAAAGAGGTGCGACCGAAGTGAGGGTCCCTCAGCTCCACGGCCATGAGGCGAGTGGGAACCCGCGTTTTGGTTAAGTGCAATCCCTCTCTCGTGCCTCAGCCCCCCGCTCTGCCTTTTCTGCCGATTCGCACCCCTGTGGCTCCCTAAATCCTGCCTATCTTTCCCTTTCCTCCAGATGGATCCCACCCAACCAACTTTGTGAGGCAGGCCCTGCCTTTCCCTCTCTCATCATCCTCCTTCGATGTTTCTCTCACGGTGATGCTGGAAGCCAGGCCGGGTCGGCGCTGGGTTTGGACCTAAATGGGAGACGGACAGCGAAGAGCAGAGACCTCCAGGTCGGGTGAGGAAACCACCCTGCCCAGAAGCCAGGACCAGCCCTCGGTGCAGCCAAGCCAGAGTCGACCCAGCTGGTCAAGGAGAGAAGGCGGCTTACCACGGTAGGCGCGAGTCGAGATTTTCTCGGCGGTCCAGTCCATGGCACGGCTGTGTCTCCTTGCAGGGGAGGAGGGGTGGGGAGCCAAGAGGGGCTGCGCAAGGGAGAGGGAGAAAGGAGGACGGGGTGGGGTGGAGAAGGCGATGCGGGTTAAGAGCATGCAGTTGTGTCTGGGTGTCAACGGGTGTGGGGTAACAGAGGAGAGGACCAGGAAGGAGGGGGGGCGTGCACGGCCCTTCGCACCCTCCTGTGCCCTGTTTTCTCAGGCACCCAAGCGGAGTCCAGAGACCAAATCGACGCAGGCCCGTCCGAAAGGCAGCCGGAGATGGGATGGTGTCCCAAGACCACCCGTGGTTTCCCTCACCACCAGGTTCCCTCCGAAGTCTCATCTCCAGTGTGCTCGTCCATCCAGTTCTCTGCCCGGCCCAGAGGTTCCCCCCCTTTGTGAGCTGACCTATGGGGCTGTAGCCCCTGCCCACCATGAGCCAACCCCCCCCAGGGGCCATTCTGCTGAGCGCTGGCACAGGTGTATGGGAGTGCCGCCACCCTCTTCTTCCAAGGCAGCCGGCGCCAGGTCAGGGTTAGTTAGGGTGGACGTCGGGACCGGCAGGCTCCGGGGAGCTCCTCCCTCCTCATGGTGAAGTGCTGGCTGGAGTGTGGCCACGCGACACCGTGGACGAGAGCTGGTTCTGCGACGTCACCGGGCCGGCGTGGCTGTGGGCGCCTGCTGCGCCGCCTGTGATGCCGGATCGTCGGGCAAACAGCACACCTGCCCAGGAAAGAGAGAACAAAGGGTGAGATGCTGGCGCCTAGTTAGGGATGTGTGGAAACCTCCTTCCGTTCACCTCTGAAAGAGAACTTCTCTGAAATCTGCACCTCCTGACCCAAACACTCAGCCTGCGACACAGTTAGACACCGCTTTGTATGTTTACGACGTGTCCAACACAAAAAAAAATAAATAAGAATACAAAAGCACATGTAGCAGTATCTCTTCATTTGCAAAATAAAATTTTAATATCTCTAACTTTAGGAAAACTATGTATAAACATGCATCTGGAAATAAATGTGTTTGGTGTCTTGAAACATGATTTTTCATGCAGCCTTTAGTGGAGAATTACAAACAGAAGCAGGCATGGGATTTAACAGCAGAAAAATGAGGAGAGAACTGAACCGCACTGATCTCCATCGCATGAGGTCCAAGTGAACTCTGCCAGGCAACCCAGGAACCATTTCCTGCCGCTGACCCCTTCCAAACTTGGCTCAGAAATGACGGGGGACCCCCCCTCACCTCCCCCAGACACACCCTGTCCCCTCACCCAAGGATAGCTCAAGGATGTTGTGCGGTCCTGCAGGAAAGGCGACACGCACACCCGTGGCCCAGTTCACATCCAGAAACTGACCGGCCGGAGTGGCTGGACGTTCGCTCCACACTGGGAAAGGGGCAAGGCATGAGCCTCTTCGTAAGGGTAGCAGAGGCTAGTTTAAAGGGTGCAGGGAAAGCTGACCACCAAGAAAAGGGGAATTCAGGAGGAACAGTGGTGGGTCTATTCCCCCGGCCCCAAGTCTTTGCTGCCTGTGACAGACACTTCCCTCTTAACAGTGGTTCTGGCCGTAGTGTCCTTCTCTGTGGGCTCTCTTTACCCTCAACCTGCTGGCTTTTCCAGTTCAGCTCTTGGGGCGCCTATGGCAGGACACCCCATAGCGATGATGTCTCTCCGTACTTAGGAAGTCATGCTAAGACCCTCTCCTTCCCTCCCTGCCTGCTGTGCACGTAAAGGGGAATCAGCCAGGCTTGCAATTCGTCCTGGGCGGATTCTGTCTGGGACACACAGAAATACGCTCTTCTCGTCACTCCCCTCCAGACTCCCTTCCCTCGACAGAGGGAATCCAGCACAGAAGGCGGAGGAAGGCAGGCGGGCTTGCCTGGAAATGTTTAGGGTTAGGGGGAGACGACTCTTCAGGGCCTCGCAGCAATAGGATTCTGTCACCATGGGGAAACAAAGAGGGGTGTGTGCGTGTGGGAACCGTCGGGGGAGATGGCAACCCACTGCCCATTTCCCTGCCTAGCTGTATTCTGTCATTCCGTCCTCGCCTGCAGCTTCAGACTGGTCTTTGCGACCCCTAAGGGCTAGCAGCTTGCCTTTCATTTCATTTTCCGAAAGGGAGGGTTCGCAACACAAGTTTCGGCATTGAAGGCAAAATTGCACGAACACGTGCAGAGCAGAAGGAGCTAGGACGAGGCCAAGGCATGACAGATGCAAAGGATACCTAGGGGTAGGACCTCTCCTTCCGCAAAGCAAAGCATGCTGCTCATATACCACCCAATACCACTTGTATAGCCTGGGCAGTTTACAATTTAATTCTGCAGGCTATACACTGCCCACCACCCACCACCCCCAGGGAGCTGCGTACTCATTTTACCAACTGCAGAAGGATGGAAGTCTGAGTCAACCTCGAACCGGCTACCTGGGATGGAACCTGGGTCATGAACAGAGTTTAGGCTGCAGTACTGCAGTTTAGCCGCTGTGCCACGAGGCTCCAAAGCCCTGCCGCCACCACATGTAGGGGTTCATCATACCCCAAACGCCCCCCTCCTTCAGCCCCAGTATGGACTCCTTGGACATGACAGCGCCCCCTCCCCCCCCCCCCACATGTCACTGGGATGGATTTTATAGCACAGACATCGTCCAGGACGGACCGGCCGGCAGCGGCTGAAACATATTGGATTTCCCGCCCGCAATTACCGACGGCAAGTGGCCCCTTCTATTTACCTGTGTAGACAACTCCATTTATTTCTATTGACATGTTGATGCTGCTAATGCCGTTGGTGGACAGATTCAATGCCGCTTCCTGTCCGTCATCTGGAAGGGGAGAAGAAAAAGGAGAAAGAAGACACGCCAAGGGAGGCATTAGGAAAGCAGCCGTTCCGGCGAAAGGAACAAACGTCAAGCCCCACCTTCACCCACATCTGGGGGCCCTGAGCCTCACAAGCCCCTCGTTTGGATGGGAAATGCTCAACCCAACCAAGAATGGCCCCCTAACTCAAAGGATGGGTTCCCTGAAGCCAAGCCAAGCTAAGCCAGCCCTGGGTTCTTCGGCAAATCAGTTGGATGTGTGTGTAGCAGTGGCAGCCATAGCGCACACAGTTACAGAACGGCCAGCCTGCTCCACTGCCCGAGAATCCAGTAAGCCGTACAAGGATCCTATATAAACATGCACAGGTTGCTCCCAGGATCCCGGAAGCAGAAATCTGGTGAGGTGCTAAGAGCCTCCCGCACAGAACTACTTTTCCCAGAGTTTCCCAGAGATGGGAAACGGCGGGTCTGGAGGTCATTCCAGGGGCCAGCCTCCAGCCTTCTGCAAATCCAAGCCGTCCTCCCAACATCGCCACATGTCCCTTTGGCCCCCTCCCTCCTCCTTCCCTCCTGCCTGCCACCTCTTAGCCTTTGGCACTAAGGGATTCCCTGTGGGTCAGAGACCCCCCCCCAAAGAATCGACTCGCCTCCGCGGTTATTGATCTTGATGTTGACGGGGAACTGCGAGGCCATGGCCAGGAGGTTCTGCTGGAGGGCTTGCTGGACCAGGCGCTGCTGCTGCTCCTCGGCCACCAGGGCCATCTTCTTCTCCGGAGGCTCTCCCGCCTCCAACCTCTCTCGCAACTGCTCCAGGGCGGCCGCTTGAGACGCGGCTGCCTGGGCGGCCACCAGGTGATGCCCAGCTAAACTGACCGGGATGGTGAGGCGGCCGGGCATCGTCGACGAAAGAAGACCGTCCTCTGCACAGCACAGGGGAAGAACGGAGATGGTGGGGATTCTGGCATGGTTCAAAGTTTCCCTTTCTCTCTCTCTCTCTGGCACACACATATACAAATTCACTCCTTATTAAGGAAATAATGGGTTATTTGTTCTACTCGAGCACAGGGGCTGCGCTCGCAGTGACTGAAAGCAACGAAATCATCCAGGATCAGATCCTCTGGAAAAGAAACCAACCCTGAATTCCTTCTTCAAAGCTGTTCTGAGACAGGTGTGAAATCTGAACCTACGCGACAAAAGCCCCCAAAGGTGACCTTTCGGGCCCCAAATCCAGCTTTTGGCACCAACCAGACCCGACTTGCCGAACCACGAAGAGGTGGGTCATGCTAGGCTTGGACTGATTCAATGAGTCACCTCTAATGCAGGACTAAGAAAGGAAGCCGTCAGGCTGGAGAGCCGTTCTGGAGGAGACACAGGGCTGGCTTGGTGAAGAACAGACAGTGGGCTGAAGGAATGAGAAAGAAATCAAGAAAAGGGACAGCTTTCTCATGAAAGACCACAGGGCAGATTCCTGCATCAACTTGGCTACCCTTCTACTTCTTCTCCCCCTGCCCACTTACCTGTTCAGGTTACCTGTCACAGGTAAATTGATGCTAAGCTTCCAACACCTTCTCCCCACCCCAATCACTACCTTGAGCCAAGTGAAGCCCTCTATGTTTTTCCTAACATGATTTTTCTGTGCTGCTTCCTCCCACGGCCAGAGCCTCTCTGCGCAGAAATTCTGTGACCACGCAAACCGTTTCTGTTCTGAACAGATGACACTCACACCTACAGACTTCCCCCAGAGAAGGAGCACACGGCTACGGCTTCCCAGCGTAGGCACACCACCTCGGCAGAAAGACAGCCACCCTGTTGCAAGAGCCATACATAACGAGACAGAACAGATGACTTCTTTTTGCCTACCCAGCGGTGAGGATGTACTTTGCGAGATTCGTGTCACGGAAGCTTATGCCCTTAAAACATTGTCTTCAGTCCATCACAAGTCCCTTTATCCTTGCTGCCATGGACACACGCAGGTGCAACTCTGACTTTACTCTTTTGGTATCAGGCTGAAGTGCAACACATTCACACCCATCTTGCCAGTGGGGCAGCGTCTCATGCGTTGGGCTCATTGTGACACTCTGTTCACCACCCCTCTACATAAAAGTCCCCCCCAAAAATGTAGGCAACTAGATTGGTCTGCATCCAGAACCATGGAGAAGGTCTTCTGTAAAGTTAATGGCTCTTAACTGCCCAGGCTAAATGGTTCTTAAATAACCTGGCCGTACAACAGGGGCAGCTTGCAACAATACAGTAAGGACCCCCCCTCCCCAAATCTACAGGAGCAGTATCTGCAGTTTCATTTATCTGCAGTCAGAAAATATTAAAAGACAAACCACATAGGAGCCTCGTGGTGCAGTGGTTAAACCCTGTTGTACTGCAGCCAAAACTGTGCTCACGACCTGGGGTTCAAATCCCAGGTAGCCGGCTCAAGGTTGACTTAGCCTTCTATCCTTCTGAGGTCGGTAAAATGAATAAC